TTTTGTCAGTTCTGTTGGTATGCAATAAAAAGATGTTGCTGAGCACCCAATGGTTGGACTGGTTCGTCTCTGGCTGTCGTGGTGGGAACCCCGTGGCATGGTCTACTGCCACACTGGTGCCTGAACARGGACCTCACACAGCCAGAGACATGGACTGGTTAAAATCGTTCGGGAAGGGGACGGATGAAGAACTTCTGCGCCCATACGAAGATCATATGGCGGAGGGCAGAAGGCAGATGGAGGAGTTCCAGAGGCGGACGGAGGAGATCCAGAGTCAGACGGAGGAGATCCAGAGTCAGACGGAGGAGATCCTGAGTCAGACGGAGGAGATCCTGAGGCAGACGGAGAGGATGAGGCTTGGGCGCTGGTCCCCGATCGGCGGTGAAGCCGATGGGTCCGGCTCCAGGGTCAGCGTGGAAGCTGACGCCTCTGGTTCCAGCGCTGAGGTCGGCGGGGAAGCCGAGACCTCCGGTTCCCGTGCTTAGGTCGGCGGGGAAGCCGACACCTCCGGGTCCTGCTCCTCTTCCTGCTTCCCGGTCAGCGGAGAAGCCGAGACCTCCAGGTTCCGGTGCCTAGGTCGGTGGGGAAGCCGAGACCTCCGGTTCCGGTGCCTAGGTCGGTGGGGAAGCCGAGACCTCCGGTTCCGGTGCCCAGGTCGGCGGTGAAGCCGACACCTCCTGGTCCTGCTCCTCTTCCGRCTCCCCGGTCAGCAAGGATGCTGAAGCTCCCAGTCCCCGCAGTTCGGGGTCCCTGGTCAGCRGTGAAGCTGACGCTCGCAGGCCCTGCGATCCCCGCAGCTCTGGGTTCCCAGTCGGCGGATAGGCCGACGCCTGCCGACCCTGCTTCGATGGGTAGGCCCCCCGGACGGCGGTGCACTCCTGTTCCGGGGTCCAAGGTGCCCGTGCGGCRGCGSCCACCTTCCAGGCCGCCAGGGAGACGCCGCGTCCCGYGACGCMCACCTGCTCGACCMCCGGAGCGCCTCAGTCGGTGGGCTGGGTTCCTCCCCTGGCCGGATGGAAGGGGGGGGGTAGTTCAGGCCGGATAGCTCCCGGACCTGAATCTGACGGTGGGGGTATGTGGAGGTGAAGGGGC